CTAACGCTGCTCATTGATCAATAAAGTGGAAGCAAGATCGCTGCGGCTATTGTGCTTAGCGTACAGTAAAGCTCAGACGCTCCCACATGAATTTAGTTGGTTTTTTTTTTTTTACTATAAATGTATGAAAAAGCTTGTTGTTGTTAGGCACAGACAGACCCCATGGTTTTGTTATTTAAAGGGGAAAGAGCGTTGCGTGGTAGTAAGAAATATTGCGCGGACATAGAACAAATATTGTAAAAACACACATACATACATTACACAACAACAAGATATTTATATGTATGGTCTGTATATATGTACATGTCGCATAAATACGGGTATGCGTAGCCCATCGTGACGTCACCTCTAGCACTTATTAGCTATGAGTGATGCTTCTTGCATGCTAAAATGTATTGAATATACATATATGTTGACTTGTCATAGAGTGAGAGTAAAAGTATTTTGATTTCATTCATACCTTAATATGAGTATAAATATGTACATACATATATATGATATATATATATGAGTCCAACGTCTTACTGTTCGATGTAAGTGTGAGATGCTGTCGACAAGAAGAAGAACATTCAATGATTAATTTCAATTGTTTTTCTATTTTTTCAAATTTTTTCTTTCTATTTTTAAATTAGACATTTTGGACTTGATGTAATGTTCTTGAGCTGTCTGCAGTCCGGAATAAAGTTGGACTGTGAGTAAGCTGAGCTTGCGGCTTGTGGAAATACCCAACTGACTTTTTACATATGATGCATTTTAATAAATTATTACGCTTTTGTATGTGTTTGAAAGGTCATTGCTGTCTTCCTGTCATCAATCATGCAATACACTTGCGGTTCTTTCTATTAATATATTTATATATTTTTTATTTATGGATGAAAAATTCAAAAGTATATAGGGAAACTGATAAATTACATAGTAATCTATTGATGGTAGGTGTATCTAAATCTTCTTCTTCTTAAATGACATTTCACGTTTAAGAAATGGTGGGACCTACAGTTTATACCGAGCCGCTTTCGAACGGCTGATGGTTTTTTTTATGAGGAGCTTTTGATGTTCATGTCATGATACACTCGGAGTATCCTTTTTCGCCCATCTTGGCATTAAAACCGACAAGCACCATATTGATATCGTCATAGAAGACATTATTGGTCACATCGCTCCTCTCTCGCTTCAGATTTGATGCAGATTGTGAAACAAGTTGGTTCCCTGGGGCAAACGATTGTACTCACTGTCTGAGTCTCTCTACCGTCACAAATCCAACTGTAAAATAGAAGAGCGTATCACCACCCAACCTTTGTACCATCCATTGCATTTCTTGGATGGCAGTGATGTCAGCCATACCAGCCAGTTGAGCAGCGAGACATCTTCCCAACTGACGAACCTTCCAACTTTATCAAATTCGAGATCATAAACCGGCTTCGGCTTCAAGACCGACGCCAGCTTGTAGGCGCACCTTTGTTGGACAGAAAGTCCGAATATTACGAAGTGGCTCAATTGAAGCTTCACGCTATTAGTCAGGGGCTAAGGATATACACGTTTTGGTTACCGCATCTTACACAAGGGTTACTTAGGTGCTCAGAGTCCGCAAGAGCAGGAATCGAGTATATCTCTGCCACTGTAACTACACCCCCTTACACTCCATTCAGTCAAAAAATTAACGAAATATGAATAACATTCTGCATAATTTTTACTAATAAACTAAATCACTTTTAATTATACTTGGCAAAATATTTACACCCCCAAATTATTCCACGAAATTTTACAATAATTATTAGCAATTTCACACATTGCACATTTGGCAATGAAAACAATTAATTTTACATTAAATTAAATCTTGTGCACATATGAAACTATGTATACAAATGCGGTTGTACATTAGCCTCCTATGTTTGTAGGTACACTGCGCGACAACCGATTAGCACACTCTCTAACCTATCAGTTTAAAGGAGAATAACTCTCTACTCTGAATATGTTTCATGCGCATTCTTTTTTTTTCTTTTATTCTGTATCATTTTCGCTCATTCTAAGTATAACTGTGAGATCTGGAAGTGTACCGTTATTTTGCTTTGCTTTTTTCTTTGAAGTGCGACAAAAATGCATGCATGTTTTTTGCGACAGCCGATTAGCACATCATCGCTTTCATGTCACTTTTTGCGTGTAAGCTGTCTTGATTGGGTGTTTAAGTTTATTATTTATTTATTGGGACAAATAATGAATAAAATAAAGTAATATTGGGCAAAGGAAATCCGTTGGACGAGTCTGAAAAAGGCAAAATAAGGGCTTACAGGGAGTGCGGGCACTCTATACTTCAAATATCGAAAAATATTAAGCGCAGCCGTAAAGTCATTACGCATATTTAAGCAATGAGGATACATATGGGAAAAACATGAAAGGTAGGCCATCATCAGTAATAACAGCAGCTGACAAGCGAATCATACATACTACGACACGCATCTAATTCCCACGACGCAGCCGCCAAAAAAAAAGGAAAAAACTGGTGTTAAAGCGTGCGTTCGGACTGTCCAAAGAGTTATTTCGAATGCTGATCATATGAAGCATCTAAAATTAAAAAAAAAAAAAACCACCTCTAAACCAACTTAGAAAGATGCTACGACTCAATTTCTGCCGATCAAATATGACCTGGACTAAGGAGTGGGAGCGTGTAGTCTTTTCAGATGAAAAAAAGTTCAATTTGGAGTGTCCTTACGGCTATGCCTATTACTTTCATGATCTCAGAAAGGAAGAGCATACTTTAGATCGATTGCGCAGCCGTACGGGTGGTGTCATGGTGTGGGGAGCTTTAACATACTTTGGCACTATAGAACTGCAGTTTCTTACCAGCCGTATGAATGCCATTGCGTACAAAGGTGTACTGAATACGGCTTTCCCTGCAATCAAGTAAATTTTTGGACCCTTGAAATGGAAGTTCCAGCAGGACAACGCACCTATCCACACAGCCAGGATTGTATAGTCCTGGATTGATGGTCAAAACGTGGAATTACTGACTTGGCCGCCATACTCTCCCGACCTAAGTATTATAGAAAATGTTTGCGGATGGCTGGCACGAAAGGTGTACGAGTCCGGCAGGCAGTATTCAACTGAAGCAGAACTCATTGAAGGAATAAAAAGGTCCTGGGAGGCTGTTTCACTCAATTATATAAAAAAAATTATATGGCTTCTTGCTTCAGCGGATGTACGAAGTAATACTTAACCGTGAAGGCTCAACACATTATTAATTTGTTTTCAAAAAAAAAGTTAAAAATATTTAAATTAATGTTAAAAAACAATTTGAATGAAGTTTGAACCCATTTTCTTTTGTTATTTTAAGTTTTCAAGTGACTGTGCTAATCGGCTGTCGCAAAAATAATAGAGAATTTCGTATGTTATGTTTGTTTATATTATTTTAAAATGTTATTAATAAAATAAATAAATCTAATAAATCTTCTGATAATTTTCGTGTGAAATTATAAATTCTTTTAAGGGAAAAAAATTATTTGAAAAGCTTTTTTAGTTTTACTGATATTAAGTTTCTGAGACGAGCAGCATAGGGTATGCTAATCGGTTGTCGCGCAGTGTATATACTCTAAGAATATAATTGTAAGCAAATTCGCCAAGCATGCACGACAGTTGAAATGTTTATTTCCAGTCAAATGCAACCAAAAAATAAATTTCCGCTTCATTTCACAAATTGGAGAATAGTGTGCTTTAAAAATAAAAATCTCATTTGCTTATACATACACGTATATGCATAAAGACATTTTTCACTCTCATAATATTTGAATACAGTTTTTTTCTAAGAGTTTTTCTATTTTGAAAATTTTCAACTAATGTTTAGAAATGGTCGCTTAAATTTTTGTTTATTTTTTTTTTTACAATGGAAAAAAGAGTTATAAATATTATTTAATTTTTCAACACCTCATTTATTAAGCTTTACATTCCAGAAACAGCTGTTGCACGAATTTTATTTTTTTTTATATAATTTTTGTTTTAAATTTTACTTTTTCGGCGAATTTTTGATGAGTAAACAATTAAATAATGGCATGTGCCATGTATATACATATATACATATTTTTTTTGGTGGAAACATGTATCTAGCTGCACACGATTCGCCGCGGGATATCCCAACCCATATATTGATGTACAACTGTTGCTGACTTGCTGCATGTGCGGTATGTATAAATTCAAATAAATTTGATTCCATTGACAGCAATTACAAATTTGACGTGCTAAAAGTTTTAAGCTGAGTCAAAATGTATTAAAATTAAACTGAAAATACATATAAACAAACATACATACACGTACATATGTTATTACACATTTACAATGAGAAATGTGTGTTGAATTTGAATTTAAATTTAAACAAAAACTGTGCTTTTATGCAAAAAAATACGACTTTAAAAGGTTTCAATCAAGCTAGCAATTTGTGGTGAGTTTTTTGATATTATTTTTTTAAAACACTTGAAAATAAAATCTTTGCACTGAACCTGCACACACGCCCATAGTGACATTCAAGATATCATAATAGTTTTGTACGCGTAATTATATTACTCAGTGAATATATTTTTATAGCTTTTATTTGCATATTTATGTAAGCACACACAAGCACTTTTAATTTTGTGGGGGAGTTCATGTTTTTCTGCTTAATATTGACTACTTATTTGGTTCACTATATGTATACATTTCAATTGGAGACATTTACGTAAGCATGTACATATTTATATAATTATTAATGTGCTCTATTTATAATGAAAAGTCTATGAATAATACGTATTTCGCGGTACTATAAAATGAACAAACAAAAAATATCTATTTCCCGATTTCTATTTGCAACCCCTATTTTCGGTCACTTTTTCCACTTTTTCCACTTTTTTATAATCAAAAAAAACCTAATAACACTCGCTAAACGTTTGAAGCGCGCACCACTGTAAAATTTATACACTTTTTATACTGAAATCCATTTTTTTATTTGTATAAAAAAATGCACATGTGCTTTTCCTTACCTGGTTTGTCGATTGTCAAATTCGATATGACACCAGCGTTGACATTTACGTTCATCATACGCACCGACATCTTCGATTCTTTATTTTGTTGCATCGGACTCCAGCTGCCATGCTGACAATGCTCAAAAAGTGCACAATTCGTCAGATTATTGCCCATATCTGTGTTTGTATGGCACTTAACTCCTTGATATTATTGTAAATATTTTCAATATAATAAAATATTTTTCAAAGACTCTCTAATAAAAACAATTTAAGTTTTTAAAACATTTTTTTTAAACTTGAGACATTTTTATTAAAAAAAAATTTATTAGAACAAAAAATACAAAAATCAATACTAAATTGTTTTTATCGTTGAAACGTGTTAAATAAACAAATCAGTGTTTATTGCATATCAGCTGCCGTTGTTTATATATTTTATATGTATGTATGTAAAGCATGCGACGATAACTGGACGTACGTTAAATATGTGGTCAAACGGGTTTCTAATTTTATTTAACACTTGTAGAACATTCGTACTGACTTTTTCGGGTTAAGCCTTTTTAAAGTATTCAAATGCAAATACAAAAACAAAACAAAACAATTTTATAAGCAAACAAATAGACAATAAAACAACTGAGTAAATTTTTGTATGGCTAACAACAGGTATTTTTTTTTTTTATTTATCGTGCTGTTTTCGTTTTCATTTTGAATATAAATATGACGTAATTTAAGTAATTTACACAAGCTTAAATGATGCGCTTGAGGTGATCATTAATTGACACTAAATAATGCCATCAATTAGTTTAACAAGAAAGCAATGCTGAACTGATTGTAAATAGGTTTGTATGTATTATGTTACACTTATCATTTTATTACTATCAATTTAGACGGAGGTCAATGGCAACAATGGAAATTAAAATAGAAATTGTTTGATATAAAATATTACAAATTTTTGTATACAATAAATATTTATTTGGTTCAGAAAATGTATATAGTTTTATGAAAACCTGCCCAATGTTGTTTTTGAAATTAATTCGATTATTATTAGCTTGATGTTAATATTTTTATTAGCGTGTTTATTATTTACTAATTTTTTTTTAGTTTTGAAATCATATCAGTTTCCAAGTGTAGTTATATTTTTTTATAGCACTAGTTACATGATCAAATACTTCATTTGGATTATATTACAGCACTTTACACAATTCTGAATCAAATGATCATTCGCTATACGCTAGTATCAATTTGTTATCGTACACTGTGACAGCATATTTTATTACTTTATGTCAAGTCTGTATTTGTTTTTTTTTTTCCTTTTTCCACACGCTTGTTTTGAATTGAACGTCTACTCGACTTGAGTTCATACGCCTAACTGTTATTTAAGTTTTGAAAAGCATTTAAAATGGCGTTACTCAATAGCTTGCTCTGAAATCTTTATTAGTCTAAAACAAAAAATTTTATGCGGCTTCTAGTAGAGCTGAACATTTGGAAAACAATTAAAAGAATTCTCGCAACTACTTACATACATATGTATGCATGTATGTTAATATTTGCTGCTGGTTTTTTTCTTTTTTATTTTGTTTGTAATTAAGACGAAAGAATAAAATTGAAGTGTTCGTACTATGCGGCATGTTTTCAGTTAGATGAAAATATTTATAACGGCCTTAAATGTCAGATATTATCGATAAATCGATAAGCACACAAATGACTTACTTTTAACCTACAACAATTTATGTAAACAACGGAAAAGTAAATATTCAACAGGTTGGGGAAAAATCGCAGGGAAAATTTCCCAAAACAAATTAGAATAAACAATGGCTATTTTGCTTTTTATTGTACATGTATGCGCAGCATAGTCCACCCCCTCAAACTTATTGAACGGATGTATGTATGTAATGTTCTTGCTGTTCTTCGCATACACAACTGATGGAGGAATTTTCATTGTGAATTTTTCACTTCAGCTATTATTTTTGTGCGTGGAAAACTTTTGCACATTTAAAACATTAATTAAATGTGTTTATTATTTTCTTTATATTTTAAAAAATAATGCTTAAAATTCGGTAAAATCATTTGTTTTACGTTGAAAACTTAGAAATAATGTACTGAGAAGAGTGTCGAAAAATCAATTCTTTCACAACTACAACAACAAACATTCGTCTTCAACATGCAGACAGTCAATTTATTTTTATATACGCCATTGGTAGCGCTAGTGCTCCTCTTGACTTGCTGCCGTACAACCGTGGGCATGGAGCAAGCGGCTGTAGGTGAACTGTTTTCATATAAAATTGAACCACTACTCTTCAACTGGACTAATCAAGTGATCAGCGAACAATTTCGTTATCGTGTCTCATTAGAGGGTTACCCCGATTTGCCTTCTTGGTTGCGCTATAAATACAGTCATGAATACCATGCTGGTTTTCTCTACGGTACACCAACTGAGCGTTTGGCTGCTAAAACCGTGCGTTTGGATATTGTTGCTCTGAATAAGCAGAATTATGAAACGCGTCTAGCTAAGTTGTCTATATATGTAACGGAAAAATTACCATCATTAAATGTAATACAAATGAAAATTGATAATTTAAATTGGGTACATCTAATGGATCCAGGACGTGTGGAGAATTTACGAAATATTTTCCGTAAAGATTTGTGGCCGGAAAGTGAAAATGATTTGAGTATAGTTTTCATGGAATCGGCGGTGAATATGGGCGGACGTCTGCCATTGCGACCACAACAACGAGAGGGGTAAGTAAATGCATGAATACATACTAGAATCGATTAAAATGTATTCTTTTTTTCTGCATTTCAGCGTCGTTGTGCATCTTGGTAGTTCTGCTCGATTTTCTGCACGTCTGAAAGAACTACAAGAGGAAGTACGTCCCTTATATAAGCTTAGCACTTGCACCTATAAACGCACATCTGTGCAAAAGGTATTCGAAAATGCTGGTTTCAAATTGGATTGGTGTGCTTTTAAGACAGTCGGCGCTGATATATCGCCGGAAATACTGTTTCACAATTATGGTCATAAGAATCATCATGAAAATTTCAAACGTACTGACCGCTGGTTGGGTATTTCACGTGAAGATGTGCCAGATCGCAATTATATTGATGAATTTGCCTTTGCCTTTGCTATTCCTGGCATGATTTTCGCTATACTTGTGGGCATATTATCAGCAGCGCTGTGCTTTCAATACGAAAAGTTGTAAGTATGTAGAAGCATTGTTTTCAAATGTAATGACAATTTAGATTTAGGTAATTTTTATTGTGCGTACAGAGTGCAAAAATTAAAAATTTACCGATTTGTTAATTTTGTTATGTTCTTTTTTTTTGTTTTGTGTGCAAGAAATTATTTATGAATTTATGTATTGTTTTATAATTTTTTTTGCTTTTATTTAATTTATAGATATGATCCATACTCAGAATTTTTCTTTGAGAATATTTTTCATATTTGTGAGGAGTCTTTTGAAAAGGAAAATGAATGTGATTCCGTCGTGATGGAAAGGTGATTTTCATTTTGTAAATAATAATTGTGTATAAATTATTTACTGCAATTTACATACTTGAAAATTTTTATTTATGTACATATGTATATATTCTGTATTTTATTCCCAACTCTTAAATATGTATGTAAATGCATAACATTACTAAAATAAATATTTTTAAATTACTTACAACTTCATATTATTCAGTGAAACATCTTCGACATATCATCCCACCACTTCAACTGTGCAAATGGTGCAATGTACGGATAACAATACAGATCAGCCGGTTACCACTTTAAAGAGTCTGAAGGATCCGAATTGCTTGTTGGATAATATCAGCATGCATTCTCACAGGTTAGTAGTTAAGAAATTAAAGCACACGAAATTTTTAGCAAACGCAAACTAAACTAACCACAATTTTTCTAGCCCCAATAATAGCTACTATCAAACTGACAGCGCATCTAACACATATTTACGTCCTAAGCCGCCACCATATAAGGGTGGCACCTTGAATCGTAATGGCGTGGACATTTGACAATCAAACCCAAGAATATTGTATTGCTGAGATTGATAAATCAAATATGAAAATTGTCATAAAATATAGTCACTTTACATTACTTAAAAAAACATGTCATATCAATGTACTTACAATATAAAATTACATACATACATACATATCTGTGGTAAAGCGGATATTAAACCAATATACATACATACATATGTACTTACCTATTATGTATTAACCGTAGTACGAGAATGTTTTCTCGCATAGTTGTAGTTGTTGTTGTACAACGAATATTAAAAAAACTAGCACAGTAAATTATGAATATAATCATTATTTATCTTTTCAACTAAATAAACGCTTAAAATTTCATAATCTCATTTTTTAATTCGTTGTGCTTCTCATCTGTTCGCATGCACATAGCCACATGCACATATGTTCAGCTTCCGTGCATTTACAAACTATTGTGAATACAACCGCTGCGGCCGGCAGGTGGCTAATGAATTTTTGCCGGCGGAAGTTGAGATTTTTCTTAAAAAAACTTTGCTTTAAAGCAATTACTTTCGTATTTATATCCGTACAATAAATATTAAAATATTTTTTACATCCATAATATTAAAACAGCCTTTCAGTTGAGCTTTTTTGTGGGAAATAATGTACACTTCCTGTAAGTTTCCAATTGGCCCATCTATTGTGAATGAAAAACCATATATTTCTACGTTTTTTGTGTGAAACTGTAATAATACCAATATTTACTTAATTATACTTAATTATAATTAATTATATATAATTAATTAATTGGGGTTCATGCCTGCATTGCATTATAAATAAATGAAAATTTTATCAAATCACACTCTTCAACTTTCTATTGTTTCCAACACTTCCTTTATCGATAGGGTAGATTCTTTGAGTAGGCAACATTGCTTGAAAAATCAGTTGACGCCAAATTCTCTTTCGATTCGTTGTACAATATTTTGCCACATCGATTTTAGTTTTTTGAATTTTGTGTTAATTGTATAAAAATATATATTTTATTTATATTATCAGAGTATTATTAGAATGAAGTTTGTACAAATAAATAGTGCATAAACAAAATTATACGTGCGCTATAGTCATTTTAGAAAACGTGCTAAAAGAAATCACACGCGAAAATAACGAACTCGCGAAACAGCTGAAACGGCTTCCTTTTCCTCTCAGTAATAGCAGCGAAAGAGGAAGCAATATTCGTGCTACGACCATTTTGAAAAGATGAACGAACAACAGCAGCAGCAGCAAATACGTGTAGCAAGAAGACAGCGTGAGTAATTGTTATTAAGCAGGAAATAATTTAAAATCTTCTAAAATATAGTGTTTGTAATAAAAATTATATTTGGTGTGCTATATTGACGGTTTCCAAATGGTGATAGGAATAATAATATCCGCCGGAAATATTCTTCATCGGTTATAGATGTGTATGTATACATAAGCTAAATATTCAGGCAATGCCACTTTGCGCACTCTAAATTATTCAACAAAAACTTTAAAACATAGTAGGCAGATATTTTGAGTTAATTGATTTTCATAGAAAATTAGGCGAAAATTATAATAAATATAAGAGAAAGATTTAAAGCCCCAACTAGTAACAAATAAATACATACGTTTAAAAAAATTATACAAAAACGATGCAAATTATTTATTTGAATTTTAATGATTGCGCTTAATTTAATTGCATACATATACAGCGCGAAAGATTTTGGGTATCAATGCGCTTGAAACAACTGCGCTTCCAAGTGGATTAACTGGAACAAATATCATATTGTCATCGCCAAAGAGCAACGTAGCTTCATTATCAGTAAAATTACCGCCATTGGAACACAACGCTAATTCGTTGCCACAGCAGCAACAACAACAGCATACGGTCTCTGGCGGAAATACGAATTGTGCAGCAACAACAAATTTACCGACGACACACGTTTTAACAGCTCAACAACAGCAACAAATGGAACGCTTACGTTTGGCTAATATGATGAATCAAGGTAAGCTAAGTGAAGTGAGGTTAAAATCGATTTTGGTGAAATTACTTGAATTTTTTGAATAATTATATTCTAATGATTTATTCTTAAAGAAATGCATGCTTTATGGCCTTATGGTACGGCAACATTCTTATCACCTATGTTACCAGCACCAAATATGGCTTTGCCTTATGCACTCGCTGGCACGTTACCTTACGCCGCTGTGCCCATATATCCAGCAGCCGCCGCCGCGGCTGCAGCTGGCATGCAACAAAATATGTCGAATGCGCCACCGCATCAGTGTAACAATATGTCGCCGATAACTTCCACAAATGTTTTAACTGGTTCGGGCGCATCTTCGGAATCCACCAGCAGTACGGCATCTTCCGGGGGTGTGCCAACTATGCGTACTCAAGCAAATGATTCAAATAAGATAAATATTCAAATTGGTTTGCAATGCGTTAGTCAGAATTCACCACTCAATTTTAATTCAATGAATGAGATTAATGCCTCGTTAGCTAAAGTTAATTTGCTGAATTTTTGTGCCGGCGCACCGGAAAAGGAAAATAAAGGTTAGAATAACTGAATTTTTTCACCCATAATTTTAAATTATTAAGTTTCAAATTTTTCATATTTCAACCTGCAGAGTCATCATCACTGCGTAGTTCACCTATTTTATTAAGTTCAGAGTGAGTTTGCGCTGTAAAATATACACATATAAACAAATAAAAATTAAATATTTTATTTTTAGTGATCTCAACAGCAGTTCTGGAATTGGCAGCAATAACGCCTTGAACAGTGGCGCTGGCGGCGATGCCACTAATGCTACCAATTCGCCTGGTAGTGGTGGTAGTTGCACCGTAACACTTTCACAAGCTAAATTCAATGAACTAACACGCCTGGCACTACGTGGTAGTGAGATTGCCGAGAAGCTGGCATATACTCATCGCAATCGGCCTTGCTTCAAAAAAATTGACAGCCTATGTGCGCGCATGAAGCAGGATCTTATACGTCCAGATGGTGTACTACCAAATATAAACTCACAGGGTATAGCTTGGGCAGTAAAAGACTTCATTTTCGTATTTACCCGTGTTATCAATGCTTGGATTATAATTAAAGGATATGTTTATAATACCCCAGAAGGACTTAACAAAGTAAAATCTGCACTAAGTCCCGAATTCGCTGCTAGTTTTGCAGCGTGGCAAGACACTACAATGGATTTTGTCGAGAATCTAATAAAATCATTTGTAAATCTAGATAATTTAGTACAATCGCAAAAGAATGTTTATCAGAATTCGGAAAGTAATAGCGCACGCGCACCGTCGAGTAATACTACACCAATTAAATTCCTACAACCAGTGAATACTTTGATTGACGACTCTTTTGATTTCCTTAACGCATCAACCGAAAAATCACAACATAATTCGCTAAATAAAAATTATCTCTACACAATGGTTGAAGACTCCGAAGGTAGTCAACGTCAGGCCACAGTAAATGGCACATATTTCAAAACTGGCACTTATAATCCCATCAAAAAGGATGCTTTACTTGCAGATCAAACAAGTAATTCAACAACAAGTATTTCCAGTGCTTCAGCAACAAATACAGTTACAGCTCAGCAATTACTCTCCACCAATAATCCACTGGAACAATATTTTGATGAACAAATTTCGAAATGTTGGCCACCAACGACGGAGGTGGATACTACAGCAGCAGCCGCTGCAGAGTATTTGAAAATAAAAGAGAAAATTCCACCGAATTGGTTAAGTTATGATATACGTGTATTGGAGCAAAATTTATCAGAATTTTCAAATGATTATGATCCAAATGCACCGCCACGACCATTGGGCAAAGATCTCATTGATAAATTGAATGTGATGATTGAACGTTTGATGGCAATGAAAAATGCAGATTTATTTTTCAAATCGCAGTTCACCAAGAATTATGTAAGAATTGACATTAAAAAAAATTAATAATAATAATAATAAGAATAATATTTTTAATAGTAATAATAATAATAAAAATAATAATAACATAGTTTGTGCTTCATTTCCATTTTTAGTTCCCCGAATTCATTTCTAAACATAAACACGATTTCATGGATGTTCGTTCGATTATACTCAAGTGTCAAGTGGGCGGCTACCAGCATATTTTCGAAGTAGTGCATGATGTTAAGAAAATAGTGCACACTGGCAACGAGTTTTTAAAGGTATTGTGTAAATATATATTTCTTGTATAATTATATTTAATTTCTTATTTCTTGTATAATATAATATAATAATGCTCATTATTATTTTTTAACAATATTCGATTGTATTCAAATTCAGTTCAATGTTGACACCAAATTGCAAAAATCAATTATTGCTTTCGAAAGCGAATTCAATAAATTACTCAGTGAACCACCATTTGAGAATTATCAATTCGAACATATTACCGGCGAGCCAAAGGAAATGCTCTACAATTGCCGCAACAAATAAGAGTAACAATCTTAATTAGTCATATAGATAACTTAAACTATATATGTATTAGTTTCGTCGTTAAATTGGAATGTGTTTGCAGAAATTAAGAGGAGTTCAATTCTGCAGATTTCGAAAATTAGTTTAAGTTTATTCAATTGCTTGTTTAACAAATTTTCGTTGTTTCACTAAACTTCAATAACAAACAAGAGTGTGTTTATACAATTTTGCTTACAAATAGTGAATGTACGTTTTACAAAAATTCAAATTTTAATGTATGAAATGTATGTTACAGCGGAATACGCATGTAGAAACTTAAGAATTTTTTTGCATTCTTGTTTTTTTTTTTTTTGGTTTGTCCAATTTGTACAATTGTGTGTGCATTCGCTTTTGTATATACATGCGCATGTGCGTTGCTTTATCAGATTATATAAACTTTAAAATAAGACTATTTTTTGTGTGTAAAATTATAGAGTATAGTAATGCAGATATTCATATGTGTAAATACGGCAGATATTTTCATGTATGTGCATTTACAATATAAATATATTTTAAGTTTTTAAATTGCAAAAAAAAAAAAATGAATTGAAAAGTTCGCAAACAAAAGTTTCAGTAAAAGTCAGTTTTTAATATTGCTGACTATTATTAATTTTAAGTTGTTTAAATTAAATTTTTTAAAGAAAAGCAAACAAAATTTGAAATATTTTATTTTTAGCCATTCATTTCAAAATCTTTTTTGGTAGCGTCAAATATTTGAACTAACTGTGTTAATTAAAAACTGATTAGAAATGATTGCAAGCAATAATTATTTAGGATATCTATAGCTGTAAAAAAATTTAAACTAAGCAATTTATTATAAAACTCGTTAAGAGCGCAATTTCGAAATGTAAAACTGAATGAGTCCGGCTGTAAAATAGGATATATGGAAATATCTATGAATTTATTTTAATCAATTTAGTATATAAATATATGTATGTAATGTAACGGGTTTGCTCTTTTGAAATGTCAACCAAACTTCGTTTTAACCGCTTGAAAAAATATAAATATGCTTACATAATTATATAATTTAGTGAGATTCGTTGTAATATTTGTAATAATATTAATATTGAAGTATTTCAAATACATAATAAAATAGATTTTCATTAATTGTTTTGTTTTATTATATTTTATGTACGTATATGTATGTACATTCACAGATGCGTTATAAAAAGAAAAAAATATATTTAACATAAAGAATGAATAAAAATGAAATGATTGAGGCTGTTTTAATATATGTTCGTACATATATCCTGAATCTGGGCACTGGATGTAGATAGTTGATATTTCTTTTCTGCTCATACAACAATATTTTTACACTTTTGTAAAAATTTCCAAAAACCAGTAAGACAGTATTTTCGTCATTGAAGCCCACTGTGTGATTTTCTATAAGTTTTTGGATGTTGATCGCACGTGGATTTAAACCTGAGCTTTCCGAATGGCAGTATGCAATGCTAATCACTCGGCTGCCGCGGCCGCTACAATATTAGCAAATCAATAACTGGGGTAGCGACGATTGAGAGGTCAATATCACACCTTTCGTAGTTTTTGATATTTTTTTTATTATTCCATTTAAAAAAATGTTACCTTAAGTATGGGAATCTCTCACTCTATGCACTTGTCGGCCAACATAGTCTTATTTATTCTAAAATTTTATTATTTTGAAATTAATAAATAAAATATTAAATTAATAAAATGAATTCTTGCAAATATTTCATTGTTTCTAATAACTGATTTACGGTTTATTCAGCTATTTGATTTTATTTTCTTTATTTTTCTCGATTATTATGTATTTAAAATAATTTATTTGTGATTGCTTAATAAATTCATTTGGAATATAACTTTTAACTATTAAATTTTCTGAATTTTTTATACATCCTATACAGTAGCCTATGTCTGCGTATATTAATATGCCTGTATGTTATTTACATGTTCATACCGTCTATATTTTAATTAACATTTCATTTATGTATCCTTTTTGAAATAGGAACATATCCATATATATATATATTTATGTTTATCACTAACTACTTTTCTATAAAAACATTCAATATATGTATGTAACTAAATAGATAAAATATGCACATTCATACGTATGTATATATTCTTTTACTTCAACTGACTATTATGAAATGTAAATGTTTGTGTTACGGAATAAACAAATTAAATAGTAAGTTTAGTAAGAATATAAAAAAAAATATTAATAATAAAATTTAGTCATAGTTTTATTAATCTACAATTAATTTGCACAAAATTCTTCGATACTGATGCGTTGCGCTTGCAGCATACCATAGAATAGGGATTCTGGATTTTGTGCCAAGTCACGCGGTGTACCCTCCTCCTTAATTTCACCATTTTCGATAACTAAAATACGATCCATCAGCTGCAGACCACGCAGTCTGTGCGCTATAAATAGTACAGTCGAACTTTTAAAAGAATTTCTAAGCGCTTGCTGCATAGCAATGGCAGACTCATCGTCCAGGTTGGATGTGCCCTCATCAATGCAAACAACTTTAGCATTTTTCAGCAAACCACGCGCCAGACACATTAGTTGCCGCTGTCCGGCTGACAAATTAATGCCACCCTTTTCGATGCGGCCATCCAATCCGCCCAATGACTGTACCAGCTGCGTGGCGGCATGGCAAGTGGCGAGTGCATGCCAAATTTCGGAATCATAATGACTACGACGCGGATCAAGGTTTGCGCGTACGGTACCTTCGTTAAAAAAAAAAAAAAATGAATGTTTTGTTCAAATTTTTCACAGAAAACGAACTGTGACTTACCTTCAAAGAGAAATGGCTCTTGCGGTATAATACCCAAACGAGTGCGCAGTACTTTCAGCGCTAATGTTTTTAAATTCACACAATCCAATGTTATCTCACCGCGACTTAATGGCGCTACGCGCATCAATGCGGCCACCAGCGTGGATTTACCAGCGCCTGTGCGCCCCACAACGCCAACGCGTTCGAATGCCTCTGTACTTAAATTGATATCGTGTAAAGCTGGCGCTAAATTCTCACGATAACGCAGCTCAACATTTTTGAATTTCAACGCGCCTTGACTAGGCCAACCGAACGGTGGATCACATGTGCCGTCGGCATTGTCTTCCGGCTCTAGTTGCAAATAATCGTTGACACGTTCAACTGCAACAAATTCCTGCTCCGTTTCAGCTACAGCATTAAGTAACCCAGCTAGCAGGCCGGTAATTGAGAGCGCATAGGAGATGGCCAAACCAACTAAACCGGGATTTGTGACATGTGCGGATGTGATGGCAGCTAGAAAACCAGCGCCAGCTACCAGCAGCACACCGAGCAATTGCAGACGTAGACTTAGCCACTGCTGCGCGGCAGTTGATGTTAGCTGAGCTTTGATGCTTTCCTCCAATTTGGCATGGAAATCTCGTTGGAAGCGCGCACTCGCACGCATCGTACGTATTGTGACAAGACCTTGCAGCGTTTCCGTGAAATGTGTATAGAGTGGCGAGAGAGCATTGCTCGAGAGACGTTTGATATCTCGGGAAGCATAACGATAACGATATTGTAGATTGAGATAAATTGGTATCATCGGTATGATAATTAAGCCAAGCCATGGCATGGCATACAGACTGATACAAAGTGCACCTGAAAGTTAGTAAGAAGTTGCATCGGCAGTAACATATTAGTGAAGGCAGCAAATTTACCTGCTAAACCCAGTAACTGCGCTAGCAAAATATTCAATATGAAGGGTAACGAGTCGTCGACTGTGTAGGTGTCCGAAGAAAAGCGATTTAATATGCGGCCGACGGAAGTGATGTCAAAGAAGTTGAATTTTGTCTGAAAGAAATCCGAAACGAAGATAGTTTCATAATAATTTTTCAACTTAAATGCACACTTACATATAAAACCCTGTTGAGTAAACGATCATGTACGTAAATTGCAGCTTTTATGCCGGCAAAAGCGAAAAGAAAGGCACGCGCTATAGTTGTCAGGGAATTGAGTACAGCCAACGATGCAAATATGCCCAAATAATAAGCTGTATTGTGTGGCGGTTCAGTATGATTGCTGAACTCGTGCGGTACAGTGACGATATGCTCCAAAGACGTCTCATTATTTTGTGGATCCAAAGTGGTGTCGGTGACCCAATGTGCTAGCCATGCATCTGATAAGTTACGTGTCAATTGCATGAGTATGACAAAGGTCAATGTCGTGACGGCTAAGGGTGTGCCAATGGCGCGCCAATAACACGATAATACATTCAAAGAGATTTTACCATATTTGCGTGATTCCTGTGGAATTAACAAAATATGTAAGAGAGATTTATTGAAAAAAAAAAAAAATAAATAAATAAAAATAAAATAAAAGGGCGATTAGCAAAATATGTCTATATATATTACCTCTAACATAATGCTATCAACGCTTTTTCTATCAATGGAATTTTGTTCATCAAGATCAATAGATGAACTGCGTGTCAAGCCATATATATCATTGCTGGTATCGGCTTCCAATTCCAAATCAATATCAATGCTTGAGTACATATATTGACTTGGAGTAACTGTGCCTGCGTCGACATATAAAATCTAAGAGAAGAGCAAAAAAAGATCATAGGTGGCATATTTAAAGGAAAATAGGTAGTTGGACTGACCTGATGAGCGTGGTAAAGTAATGACACATTGCGCGTTACAATAATGACAGTCTTGCCCTTGAGTAGTCCAAGTATACAGTGTTTAATAATGTGTCTAGAAACGTGCGCATCCAAAGCAGCGAGTATGTCGTCCAACAAATAGACTGAATCGGAAATATATTATTAAGAAATTATTATTCAGTGAAATCAAATTAGTAAATTATTTAAATAGATTAAACAATTTTAAAAATATATACATATACATAGAATATATGTATATAAAATTATAATAAACAATATAAAAAATAAGAAAATAAAATAAATATAGTCATTATATATGTATATAAAAATTATAACAATAATATATAAAAGATAATTAATTTATAAATCATTTAAGTGCAATAAAATAATAGTGTAATAAAAGAAGTATAAATTAAAATTAAAAAACAAAAAAAAAACCCAACAAGAAGCAAAAAATATTTAAATAGCATAAATAGATTAAAACAATGAATAATAATAAGCAATGGAAACAAGATAAATAAATAAATAAAATTTATAAAAGCAAATATAATTAAAAAAAGAGATTAAAAAAAAATAAAAAAATATTACATAATTAAAAAGTAAGCAGAGTAAAAAAATAAAATGACATTAAAATATTTCAAAAAAATTTAAATAGAAAAACTAAAATAATTAAATTTAGCAATTAACTTGAAATTAAATAATATCTAGCTATACAAAATAAAATTAAAATAAACAATTTAATACAATATATGTGTTTGGTGTTTACTTTTCTTATCTTGGTAAACTGCACGCGCCAATGCCACACGTGCTCTTTGACCACCCGACAGCGTACGCCCATTTTCACCAATACCAATCAAATCACCGCCGAGTAACTCGAGATCTTCGTTCAACGCACAAGCATACAAAACCGACTTGTACCATTGTTCATCGAAAACACTACCCCATATTATGTTGTCGCGTATAGTGCCGCGCTGAAGCCAAGGTGTTTGAGGCACATAACCGAAACCTACGAGAAAAGAATTTTCACATCTTTAGTTTATTATGTTATATAAATCAAAATATAAAAAAAAAACTTAATACCTGTAGTAAGTTCGTGTATGCAAACACTGCCCGATGTGCAATTCATGCCGGCCACTATTGCATCGATTAAAGCACTTTTACCACCACCAACCGGTCCTTCGAGGCATACTAAATCACCCTGCATATATTAAGATTAAAAAAAAAAAAAATCAATATTAACAATAAAATACACCGCTCACCTTTTTTATGCTTATATTGACATTTTCTAAATGAAATTTCGTTTGCCGCTGCCTGTCATTATTCTGCTCTATCCCAATTTCATGTACGAAAGTTGCCGATTTCATCTCTAAAACTATTGGTCTATCATCCAATTTTGTTGATGTTTCATACCCGGTAGATTTTATGATTGGATTGTAGTATGATGAGAAATCAAGATTGGGTAGCTGAAAAGTGAAAAAAAGAAGTAATATTATTTACAGTTACTTTTATTTTTTAATTTGAACAACTTAAAACCTTACGTCAACTAGTTCCTGTACGCGTTTCACTGACACCCACGCTTCGATGAGACCATTAAGCACCCAGGGAAACGCATTTAACGGTCCAATTAACATATTTAAAAGCGCAACACTTGTATAGGTAGAGGCAGCGATCAATGGATTGCCCATTAGCACAGACACACCGAACGTTAGAAAGGACATCAACACCGGCGTGGTAGCCCAAAAATAAACACAAAGTGCATCCAAATATTTGCGTTTCTTCAAGAAATTCACTTCTTCTTTGCGACAGTTGCGAATTTTCTCTATGAATATATCTTCCCAGGCGTGCATTTTAATTTGTTTTGCACCGCTCATGGTCTCGCTAGTAACAGCCAAACGCAAATCTTTGGCCGTCATAAGGCCACATGAATATTGCCCAATGCGCTGCGCAATTAGGCGATTTATTGGAATAAGTACAATACCAAATATCAAACCAGCTAAGAAAGCTGCACCCAGCTGTGTGTAAAGTAGGTATAGTGTGGTGAAAAGCTGTAAACGCAGAAAAAAAGAAAAGATAAAAGGATGGTTGTAACATCGTGTTTCAAGTGTTAATTTCACTTACTTGAAAAGGTATGCTCCAGAAAGAGTGAAAACTTATGCATGAATTCACAATTCGTTCAGTATCTGTGGACATAAGATTTAAGATTTCTGGACGAGAGCTCTTCAGACCTCGTGCTTCTAAGGATTTGCGATATATAGCGCTTACAAGTCCTATACGCATTTTCATGCCGATCATTGACATACGCCAGTTAAAATGGGTGCCACAAATGGCGGCTATAAAATGGAAATAATGCACATTATTTTATAGAAGAATAGAAATATTAAGTAAGTCGTTGCTTACATAACCATGTTGTAGCGCAGAGCCCCAAAGCGTATAGGTACGGACTCCAATCGGTTTCGTTATTGTCCTTTGCAGTCGTTTGTGTGAGCAAACCACCCAAAAGTAATGGACCCGCGAAACCTGATATATCAGCTATAAAACGTAATATGCCTATTAAGTAAAATTCTCTTCCGAAGCCTTTGTGTAATGCCCAAAACAATGTTTTGGATTGAGAAATGCAAATTTGTAGATGTTCACTTAAACGGGAAACGTTTAATGCATCTGGCAAATCAAATAAATCCTCAATTTTCTTTAGGCCACCAGCGACGCCTTTTGTTATCAAAGGATTCACCCAATTAAAAACAAAACGTGAAGCATAACTAGCTTCGTCTTGCGCGTGACCGAGATGTGTTTCATTTAAATCGAAGGTGAAATAAGTGTAGCGGTTACCAAGCAGTGATTCGTCTTCCTATTTTTAATTATAAATTTTAAATATATTCATATATACATATTTATATGGTATTATTATATATGTTTATTTACCCTGTTAGCTGGATACCGAGAAGCAGCGCTTAAGACCGCACTGCCAGCTGGTATTAACGTCAAAGCGTAGAAAAGATCAAAAATAACAGTCACCAAACTCCATGGCCACCAATCATAGTTTACACTAGTGCGTAGCCAAACAATATCCAAAACAAATACTGCCAGCCATGTCACATTCATACAAAGCGATCCGCGATGGCTGAGCCCACCGAACCGTCTCGCCGATAAAAGATATCCTTTAATGAAAAAAATTTGTTAATTTACAATAGTAATTATTTCAATTGTAAATCTAATTAGACCCTTATGATAAAACAACTTACCTACATGAACAGCCCACATTACACATTCTACCGAAACAACTAATACATCGACGGCATACAATTTAACTCCCTCATGTCTAAAGACAAATATTTTCAATATTGGCAGTAGCGCCAATACAACTGACACAATTATACGCAAATAAAGAAGCCGTATCTGCACTTCATCACGCAATACACTACGCGTGTAGTACCCAAAATTATAGGCAGATATCGTGGCGAAGATTGTATAAATTGGAATCTGTAGCACTATTTCCTGAAAACATGGTAGTAAATCATTGGAACTGGCAGCGAATGGCTTTATTCCCGTAGAGCAAAATTCCGTCCAATTCCATAACACAACTGCACCCGTATCATCCATCGTCCCTGAATATTAAATGTGATTAGATGATTAATCAAATATAATTTCGACGCATAAAAAATAATATTAGAACAAAGAACAGATGTTTCAAAGTTAATTTCGCAACGATTTTTTCATACAAGTATATGCATACAAGCAGCGGATATTTTTTCTATATCATCGTTAAAAAACAAACCTATTACACCATTTGCCTATCCTTTTGAGATAAGTTTTATGGTCCGCTCTCAAATCGGTGAATTCAACTTGAATATCTTAATTTTAATCTTTTTATCACTGTCGTGGCTGTGTGGTGTAACTTGTTACCATCAAACAAATGCTTAACATTATTTTTACATTTTCTTATCTGTAATTTTTGCACATTCTTTCAGGAAAAAATGTAATGGAATATGACTAATACTTTGATAAAGGAATTGAATTGAATATTGAATGTATACAAAGACCGGATAATTTTAATCCAATGGGCCAACAACCCCCTATGCCGAATCAGTAAATGCCAAATTGAATTTGTTTACAACAGCTGGCGATTTGACAAATTATTATTGTGAATACAACGAAGAGTTATAAACAAAATATTAAACGAGCAACAACTTTATTGAAAACTCCTATACTCTGTTGAAAATGGTAAGGCGGCATTTTAAATTTGTAAATTCATATTTTATTTAAGTAATTAAAATAGAATTGATATTCACTTTGATATACATAAATAATAAAAAGAACTCTTCAATTTTAAGTATCATCCGCTATATCTATGAAAATTTGTGAAAAATTCAAAAAGAGTTTTTTCTCTGCAGCTTCTATATGTTCCTTCGATTTTTCATCGATGCAATAGACAAAGCTTTCACCTCCGTCTTCCAATTTCACATTGTGAAGTAAGGTCCATTCCTCCGTTGAAAGATCTTTATTCTGCTTCGCTAAACGACGTTTTAGGGCATCTTCAGTGATGATGTCTTCAGCTGACAAATTTATTGTGCAAATAAATGTTTTGGGGAAAGCAATACTAATGCTTGCCATTAAGTCCATTTCCAAAGATGTATTCAGTTTATTTATAGTTTTCAATACCCATTCTCTTGTGCCGGTATTTTGGCAAGTAAGTTTGATCCAACCATTTTCAAGAACACTGGATAAAAAACCAAAATTTGTGTCAAAATCTTCAGATTCATCGATTTCCTCCAACAATTTGCTTTTGATTCTTTGAAATTCTTTATTACTTAGCTTTAACTTCGGATTAGATTTATGTGTTATAATGACTGTGCATGGGTTATTACTATCCTCAATAGATAATTGTGCATTGCTGGCATCAGCTTCACTATTAACGTTTCCCTCACGATCTGTCTCAGAAACAGGAAGAGAACTTTTCATTCTCTTATTATGTTGATCTTTTGAAGAGTTGTTTGTGGCTTTGCACCGTTTCCCAGCGAAAATAGTAGTTATTGCGCTATTAGCCGCTGTTGGTGTTATTACGGCAGATGATCTTTCTTGTACGAGATTAATTACGTCAATATTTTCGACAGGTGTCTGTGGTGTTTCGTCTTGTGTGGGAATACTCTGCTTCACTATATTTTTTGATTTCAAACTAATTGAATTCGGTTGGCTGCGTTCAGCTGTAGGTACTGGGGACCTATGATTATTTGAAGTCTTAGATTCATCCGATGAGCTGGTGTTATTATCTGAGCTACTACTGCCTTCAGAGATTCGTCTACGTCGTCTATGGTCGAGAAGCAAAGCCCAAAGGATTAAGGAATTCATTCCGAATAAACTTTTCTGACTTATTTCACAGGCTAAATTTTTTTCACACCGGTAGCAATTGTATTTAAGATGAAATAAATAAAGCAACCATCAATTATACTAATAATTGAATGAGGTGAATTCACAATAGTTTACTCAAAAGCGTAGCTGTACACAAGGCAAATTCGCATAAGATGAACAGCTACGGAGCGTACCGAGCGAATTCTTCCGACTTAATGTTTGAAAGCTATATTTTCGGAGTTATTCCGATATAACATTAAAAACTCAGAAAACCTATTTAAATAATCAAATTGTAGAATTTGTCATAAATATTCAACACTACGTTTGCCAAAAAAAAAAAATTCCTGTAATGTTTGGGAATTCGATAGTTTTTTCGGGGATATTCCAGTTTATGGGGCTTGCTTTTGAACAAGCCATGTAGGGAGGTTATTTGTTTTTGAAGGATTATTTATGTTATTAATTTTATTTCGAAAAATTTCAGTAAAGCTATCAAGCTAGCAAAAGATTTTATACTAATGAAATTCGAAAATTATAATGTTTACATTAATAATTGTTGAAATTAAATCGCATAATGCATTTGAAGCTCTTTAATATACTATAATTAGTAATTTAACTTACTCTGTTTTTCTGGGGAATAATTTATCTACACTTTTCCTATCATGTCAAATTTCTTCGAGCTATAAATTTGTCGTAAATATTTTATATTAATATTGCAAATATATTAAACCTTGTGTTGTTGTTTGAAGTTATTTTGTTTCAGTAGATTTCATTAGATTTTGTTCAAAATGTCCAAAAAATTATTCGGTTTCGTATTCGACTCTGTGATATCAAGTCCAGATGGTTTCTATTGTACGACTTATATTATTGTGAACAAGCTAAACAACCGGAAGATGATTTATGATAAGAAAGCTACATGATACGAATAACTTTCACCTTTTAATACAATAATAACATAAAGATTTTATTCATCTAAGCTGCTTTTATTGTAGAATATTTTTGTGTTAAACTAGCGTTTAAATAAAAGTAAAAATGCTGGAGAGTACATACAAGGTTCTATACAAGTTTATAGAATATTATAATTTTAATTTAATTAACTTCATATTTTTGGGTTTCACTTTGGTGATTATTGTTTTCGGGAGTTTAATTAATATTGTAGAGTCGTCATTACCAGATTTCTTGCGTCAATCATTCCGATATGGCAAACATAGTTTTAGAGGTTCTGCTGATGCTTTCATTAAATACACAGAAGTGCCTAAAAGCTGGTTTAAACATTTTTATATATTTGCTTTCGCCTGGTCGTTATTAGCGCTTTTCTTCATATTTAAAGGATTTGTTATGAAGACTGAGGCACCGGAATTGGTGCTAACATTTTTAGACTTTTTCGCTGGTGGCCAAGCAAATAGAAAGGTACAAGTTGATTACACTTCCGCCTTGGTGGCTTCTGTGCTTATGGCTATCCAATGTGGTAGACGTTGTTATGAAACAAACTTCGTACAAATATTCTCTAAGAAGAATAAAATTAATATAAGCCATTATTTCGTGGGATATACACATTATTTTTGTGCAATATTAGCTATTATGAGCAATACTGAAGGATTTGTAAGAGGTATTTAATAAAGATCGATGTTTGTACTTATATTATTACTAAAAAAAATATATCTTTTTTATAGGTACACTACCAGCTTTTTCCTTAAGGCACATTTCGCTTTTAAAGGTCGGGTGTATATTAATCTTCTACTATTGTTGGACGCAGCAGTACAAATCAAATTTAATCCTTGTTAACTTGCGTAAGGATGCTAAAAGTGGAGAAGTAAAAACGGAGAAACATCTACTGCCCATTGGAGGATTTTTTAACTTAGTATCCTCACCACATATGTTTTTTGAAATCTGCATGTATGCTGCCATTTTGGGACTATTGCCAGGAAGCACTACTTGGTTGTTAGGCTTTATTTGGGTTCTCTCTAATCAGGTAAGGGTAACTGGATTTTTTATTAATATAAAAGTGGTCAATATTAAAAATTAATTAATAATTACAGATAGCAAATGGCTATTTAGCGCATCAATGGTACAAGGAAAATTTCGAAAATTATCCTAACAATCGAAAAGCGATCATTCCGTACATTATATAGATAATGACAAACTTTAGTAATATTATTTATAATAATTTTAAAATTTTGTGAATTTATACGTACTCAAGGTGATTTAGTGAAATATTTAGCAAATTTCAATTTATATCACATAAAATATATCAATACGGATATTCAGGTTTTAATAGTTTTATTGAAACTCTTCTTAACTCTTTCTAAAATAACTTGTACAACTCAGCTAAGAATGTTTTTGAAAAATACGAATCGCCTGAAGATCATCGATTTATTTATTTGAAGAGAAAACTGAAATAAATATGAACATATACATAAGTTTTACGGTAGTGTTTTACTAATATACGTATTTTTTAAAACTTGTATTTTACCTGTAAGGATACCCTTGCGCTTTTGAGCGGAAAACCGATAGTAAAAATGAAAAGAACACCACTACTAGTAGTAAGCCTACTATTGCCAATATACGCGCTCTTTTCTGATCACTTTGTGAACCAGATTCTGTTAGTAGAACCATTCCAAGTACAATCATGGCGTCTGTAATAAATAAATACAAAATTGTAAACAATCCAGAAATATAATTTTCATCACTTACTTAAGAACATAACTATGTATGTTTCCACCACCAGTTGCCCCTGGGATGAACCATGTATATATGCAACACCACCATTTTTATTTTTATGCACCAATGGCGGGCCACGTATATGATTCCACATTTGTCCCGAAATCATAGCGAAGCAAAAGAATAAAGCCACAGCACCCCAAATTTGTTTATTATATAGGAACTCTAAATTGTTACGTCTTATGTAGAGAAACCCGCCTACAAGAGCAACTAGCGTTAACATAGCCACAGTTCCGGAATAGTTTGGAGGGCGGAAGATGCGTATTTGTACATCTGTACGTTCATGAACAAATTTGGCTATAGCCTCAGCAGCGAAACCCACACGATGTATGTCCATGGTATCAGGACCCTTTGGCTTACCCTTTGCAGGGAAATGCAAGAAAACTGGTGCTGTGTTAATGCGTAATGCTTGGAATACATCGGAGCCTTCATCGAAGTCAACCATCGCAAAGAATAACTTGTTCGAGTAGGTCGGTGAGTACCGATATGAATTGGCGACAATTGTGAATTCGTCATGTGCGTGGCGGCATATCTGACACTGACGGGATGGTGCTAGAGCTGTTAACATGACCACCATAGAATAGTTTCGCGGTGCACTCTTCACATATTCCCGGAATTTCTGCCCATTGAAACGAAGTAAAGCTTTCTTCATATTCATATCATGCAAGTTTCGTACTTTTTCAGATAGTGAGAGACCGGTCTGTAGTTTGGGAAAATATAAACATTTATTAATTTATGTTGGCCGGCGTTTAGTTTGATTGCGGTTCATGACGTGGCCGTCAAGTGTACAACACAGTATTTTGAGTGAAAAGTTACCTTTTGTTTGCCCTGTGCCATGGTGATAACCAGGAAAGACCCAAGGACTAGCAGCCCAAGCAACATCGTTCTTATAAGCACATTCATTTTATATGCTTATATTAAAATTTTGTATAAATCACAGTGTTTTTAACAAATTTAGAATATTTGTAGAATACACCTCCACTTGACAGATTGAGCATCTAATAAGAATAAAACAGTTGTCAAACGTATGTCACTAAATACCCAATTGTGAATTAGTTGTAACATTCACAAAACAATATTTACATTTGATATTATTCCAAAATTTTTTAAAGTATATACATATTGGTATTTACGTAAAATCGTAGAGAAATTTACAAATCCAAGCCGAAAACAATTATTTTATATTTAATAGCTATTTTAAGAAATTGAGTACTCGAGTTTCTAAATACCACTGTGAATTACATTTTTTTGATATCTCCCATAGTGAATGTGTTATAAATTCCATTGTGCAGCCGGTGTTTTCTTTTAAGATTTTATTAAATCTAATAAAAAGTGTTTATTATTCATAAAATATATATTTTTCTGTTTAGTTTTGTAAAAATTTATAAAAATGAGTGATATTTTAAAGATTTCACAAGAACGCTCACGCAAGCGAAAGCAGTTGTTGGCTCAAACGGTATGTAGTCTGCAAATTAACTTAGCGCTAAGGGAGTAGTTACACATATTTAGTGCACTTGCAGTTAGGTCTTTCTAGTGTCGATGAGCTAAAAATTGTATTAGGAACTGCTGACGATATGAATAATGGCGCTGGCAGTAGTTACTCCGGTTATGGTGGACAACGCAGCGGTTCCGTCAGCAATAGTAGAGACGACGAAGGGGGAAGTGGCGGTAAAAAGACGCCTGGTGAAATAATTTATCGTGACTCCTCTACATTTTTAAAGGTAAATTAATTGTACATTTGTCTATTTATTTTTTTTTTACAAATAAATTTTAATTTTGTAGGGTACACAATCATCAAATCCGCATAACGACTATTGCCAACACTTTGTCGATACTGGACAGAGACCACAAAATTTTATACGCGATGTTGGTTTGGCCGATCGCTTCGAGGAATATCCAAAGTTACGAGAACTTATACGCTTGAAGGACAAACTAATTCAAGACACTGCGTCAGCACCAATGTATTTGAAGGCCGATTTAAAGACGTTGGACTTAAAAGGTTTAGGTTCAAAATTTGATGTAATCTTGATAGAGCCACCATTAGAGGAATATGCTAGAGCAGCGCCATCGGTAGCAACAGTAGGTGGTGCACCCCGCGTATTTTGGAATTGGGAAGAGATTCTGAGTAATTATTTACTTCTTATGTAGATGATGTGTTGATGTTGCAAAAACATAAATTTTTTATCTTCTTAGATTTAGATGTTGGCGAAGTAGCGGCACATCGTTCTTTTGTTTTTCTATGGTGTGGTTCCTCCGAAGGTTTAGATATGGGACGGAACTGCTTAAAAAAATGGGGATTTCGTCGCTGTGAGGATATTTGTTGGATACGTACAAATATCAATAAACCTGGACACTCAAAGCAACTAGAACCGAAAGCAGTATTTCAACGTACAAAGGAACATTGCTTAATGGGTATCAAAGGCACTGTGCGTCGTTCTACTGATGGTGATTTTATACATGCCAATGTGGATATCGATTTAATAATTTCGGAGGAAGATGAATTTGGTAGCTTTGAGAAACCAATTGAAATATTTCACATAATTGAGCATTTTTGTTTGGGACGCCGACGTATGCATCTATTTGGCCGTGATTCTAGTATACGACCCGGTTGGCTAACAGTTGGACCGGAATTAACAAATTCGAATTTCAATGCAGAATTGTATCAAACTTACTTTGCCGAAGCACCGGCTACAGGTTGCACCAGTCGGATCGAATCATTACGCCCGAAAAGTCCACCAGCTAACAGTAAAGTATTGAGAGGGCGTGGACGTGGTTTTCCACGAGGTCGCGGTCGGCCTAGATAAACGCTCAATGAATGTTCGTACCGAAAAATATGTAATGTACACTTTGTTTAAATAAGCATTTCAAAAACTAAAACAAAATGTGAAATTTTTTGCCAAAATCGACACATACTTAAGAAAAAAGGAAAAACTTTTATTAAAATAAAATTGATTAAAATATTTAAAATAAACATAGAAATAATGCGTTATTAAATAAAAAGACGAAGCATTTAATGTGGCAATAGGTTTTATTAGTTTTACACTACTATTTACACAGCTATTCTATTTTAAGTATAAATATACATATGTATATGTCTATAAACTACTGTTGTAAGCTATGGTGTCTATTGAGATGATTCATAAACACATCAAGCTCGTCCTCGGATTCCTCATCGCAGACATTTTCTCGTGTTTCCCTTCTAATGATATCTTCATCATCATCTGTGTAGTCGCTTTCTTCAAAATATGCATCTTCTTTGTCTTGATTTATTTGGCTCAGGTCATCCAACTGTGTATTGTCGTCGACTTGTGTGTAATCAAAGTCCTTGTCAGCGCCACTAAGGAATTGTTCATGCATTATACCAATAAATTCCTGTCGTAATAACTCCCTTTCGCCAGCTGTAATAAAGTTGTCTACGTTTTGATTTTTGACATTTCGAACTAAATTATTTTGTTTTCGTTTTTCTTTTCTTTGTTTCTTCTCTCGGTTGCTTGAGGAGCAAGCTACTTGCTCGTTATCGAAATTACCCCATTGTTGACGAAAGCCAGCAGGTACAACTTCTTCTACAGCTTCATACTCTTCCTCTCCCATTGTATCGTATTCACTACTAATTGTACTTTGAGTTATTTCATCCTCGCCATTGTAACGTCCACCTTCAATGGCACGCGCTAATTGCGTGCTTTTTACATTTTCTTTATCTGCAAGTTTAAGCACATCTTGCAGCTGCTGTTGTTCCATTGTATGCATTAATATGCCAGAGAATGTGGTGTTTTTGACGTCGTACTCGTCGCGTTGTTTTTTTTCTGCTTCACTTAAATATTGGCCTATTAGCTCTTGATACATCTCTGGTGCACGCTTCATCATTTCTTGTTCACTAAAATATTCACCATCGGATATTAGTTGTTGCATAGCAGCATAACGTCGATTCTTCACATCACGTTCGCGGGTACGTAACTTATTACGGTAGTCCTGTAAAAGCAACTCCATTTCTTCGTTATTCTCCTTATTTGTAACAGCCATTTCCGAAAATGTAGCCAGATGTCGCTCCTCCATAAAACTCCCGAAACGCATTAGAAATGTCTGAGCATTTTTACTATAGATTTCGCGTGCAATTTGTACCTTTTCCTCGTGTAAGAGCTCAGGATCATCAATTTGTTGAGATTTAAAAACTATATGTTTATTGAGGCTGAGAAAATTGATTATTTCTTCCATTTGTGGTGGTACAAACAAATGATTGCCCATCCGGGCTGTGGAATCTTGTGCGCCTGCGGTATCAACTTTGCCTTTGATGCCAGCATCGGGAGGCTCAACTATTTCTGCAGTCATATTATAAAGTGTGCACTTTATTAGAATTTGAATAAATAGAGACTCCCCAAAACCTTGACTTTAATTGTGTGTAATTTATTATATTCGACTTTATTTATAGAACCATATAGGTAAATAGTAAATAATACGCAGTTCACAATGAATTTATTTCCCTTTCATTCCCAATTATAGAAGTAGTCATATAGGCTGTCGATGAATATAAAAGAATTCGGACTTAAGCAAAACACTAATATATGATGAAAATTGCGAAATAATTATTGCAAAAAATTTAAGTTTTAATTATATATACGTTTTTAACTCATTTCTAATATAGCATTTCAATCCGATTACTTTTTTGTTTTTACCCATTGTGAAGTGGTTTATTCTCCTTCTTACTTGTGTGACATATCTGACACACTCTCCTGCAATAAACAACAGCTGATAATTTATTGCTTTTATAAAATTTGCAACGCACAAATCGCAGGGAATAAAAACAATAGTGAGCCACAATGACGGATGAAGCACAAATTCCCGAGCAAATATTAAATAATAAAAATAAGCATAGCGTGAGATGTGATTACTGTTTTTCGTTAATGTTGAAACCACAACTTGGGGAATATGTCGAGCATGAGGTAAGCGTATAAAGAATATTCGGAGACGCCTTTTTATTGAGAACAAATCTATTCCCATATATATATATATATATATAGTTTGAATTGCCGCTAATGCAACAGAAACATCGAAAAAACAATGAAAGTATAGAAACGGAATTAATGAAAAACTTCTGGTGCATCGATGATATATTCACTTTTGAGAATATTGGCTTTTCTAACACAGTGGATAATCGAAAATTCTTGATATGCGCTGACTGTGAGATGGGACCGGTAGGCTATCATGAAGTAGCGAATAAAAAATGTTACGTTGCACTGAAACGTGTTAGACATGGCAGTGAACCGGATGCAGTAATGGAACCAGTAACCGACGATGAGGAGAATGATGCATAAAACATAATGACTACAGCATGCATGCATGTATAGATGTAACATAAATTAATTGCCAATAACGAATAGGAGCACTAATGCCTTGAATGTGAAAAAACAAGCGAAATTAATCCTGTAGCTATATTCTTTTCTTAACAATGTGTATTTTTGCTACTTCCACTAAATTTATTTCATACATTTTTGTAGCATTTTGGTTAAATATAAAGAAGTTGAAGCAATTACATATTACGTACATAAGTTTGTACTTTTAAAATAATTAGTATTTATATAATTTTGTATGTATACTAAATAAATATTTTTTAAAATAATTAAACTATGTATATGAATATACTCTAAATAAAAAACGAAGTCATAACATATACATATTAACATATCAGCAAGATCTAATGTGCTTATAATTCGTTTTTAAATTATTTATTAGCAAATAAAGTTTATCACATCAACATATAATATAATACAATTTCACATCCACGCATCACCGTAACAACATAACGGTAAATCAGCACATCGGCCCACAGTAATGTACGTAACGCAGCAACAACGCTACACATGTACATAATACATAATCTTCTTCAAATTAAACAGCGCACCACACGTTTGCGCGTACAGAGAGGACTAGAGAAGAGATATAGGAGTACAGAGCTGACTGCTCTATTAACAAAAAATAAGTGACGCATTACCTAGTCCTTAGTGCGAGCGTACTAACTCTCTGCTCTCCGCCTTTACGAACCTGTATCTAAAGGCGGTGAGAACGAATTTTCTTTCTCGGAGGGTTGTGGTGAGTAACTGTTCCCCACTTGACTTAATGTTGAGAGGTTCTACGCCCACTCTGATAGTAGGGAGATTCTGCCCTTCCTCTACGATTAAGAAGCTAAAGCAACAACAAATCAGAACTCCATAATATTCTTACTATTGTCAAGAACATCCATTGATCTAAAATCCACGAAAACTCTGACTACAAAATAGTTTGTATCCATTTTCAACCGAAGAACACTATAAACGGTTTTCGAAAGACTTTTCACTGTTTGTGAACAGTATTTCGTAAGGCCTTCATTTAACGCTCGAGCTGTCTCGAGAGATCCGAGTTATACTGGAACAACTAAGTTCTGGATATTGTGGTCGACTTAATTCTTATTTATCCAGACTTGACCCCGACATACCAAACGTACATACATATGTATGTCCTGCATTAAATCAAACCCTGCAAGACACTAAATAACTCTTTGCATCCCACCTAAACCAACCCATCTAACCTCTGCTTACCCTTTGGTCTGTGCCTGTCGTAACAGCCCGTTTGCGGTATCTCAAATTAGATTACCTCGATGACTTAGATTAGTATCGCGTCCTTTTTTTGCTAACCGCTACACCAACTACTAATACAGCAGTGCACATCAAGATCTCCGCTTACCAATAACGCTAACATAGAAACTGTGTAAACACCACGCCAAAATGTTAGATCCGTGCCAGCTAAAGGACATCAACTTACTGCCTTAGCCAATAGCATATCATTTAACAAGAGCTGACGTTGTTTCAGGAAGTACAGTCCTTTGAAGCGAAATAAAGAAAAGGCTGATTGGCATAAAATCCTTATAGGAGGTACATATACAATTCATCCTTCTGGTATTTAAACCCACACGCAGTCTCCGATTTTTATTGACATAAATAAATTAATTATGTTTAAGGAAAGTCGGGGGTAAAAGGTTTAAAATATGTAAATTGTGTCAGTCTAGTGTTGAGGTTAGATAAGGTTACGCTGCACATATTCATAAACCAGTTGGTCATTTGTAATGTTAGAGAGGTTATATAAAACTTTGCGTAAGAGCGCTTTAAGACGATTTGAGACTTCCATTAGCCTAGTTATAAGCCCCTGAACTACGTAGCTATTAGATATCTGAGTAGTGTCCATAGGGACTGTTCATAAAGAACGTGACCATATTTAGGCCTTTCATTCGGTAAATTGACCCATCGTGGCGTTTCCTGTCTTGATAAGGACGTGCACTTACGTTTCGCTCATGCCTGCCTCGCAACATTTCCTGTATGACGCACTGTAACGCTCATTTTACACGCTTACGATGTCAGTGGGTTATGCCACCAGACCTTCAACCGTTTTATATACCACTCGATACCACATGAGCAAAAACTGACTCTATCGTTAAGCCAAGCCAATGCCATTGCATCTCGCCCTTTACAGAGTTCGTAGAGTTTCCAGTATGTGCAGCATGAAAAAAAGTTTTTAGTGAAAATCAGTAGCCATCTCATCCAAAATGATATTCATTAAACGTTTGCAAGCGTGGTAAGTAAGTAGTAAGTCTGTTAATTATTAAATTAGTATATGTAAACAGCTGTAAAAAAAAAAACAACTCCGAAATTCACCTGTGGTTAGGAGCTAAAGAATTAACCGTAATAAGGCATGTTTGTCGTAAGAGGAGACTAAAATCCAAATCCGAAATTACCCAGTTTTTTATCCGACCAAGGACTGTCACACCCGCAATATTCCACGGAAACCAATTCGGGAAGTATTTTACTGTTACAACAAAAGTTAATAACAACGGTAAATCCACCAGATGTCTAAAAAACAACCTTTATATATATATGTATGTACATATTCATGTTTCCAATGATATTTTCTGCGGTTAGCCACATACATACATACATATATACATACAAACATATGTACATACATATGAACATATCATGCCTTATGGCAGATTTAAAATTGCAGTAAGCCGACAGTCTGAAGATTTATCTGAGGTTTTATTCAGCGCAATTGATTCCGGCAGCCATCCAACGGTTAATTTTGATCTGTCGGGTAAAATCTTTCATTGCAGTCTCAAACTTTTTTTAAATATACTAATTTGAAAATATATTAACTTGCCTGTCTGTTAAAAAAGAGGTACTAAACTATCGGAAATATCGATTAATCGATCATTTAGAATTTACTTCAAATTGGCGATTTTTTGGAAAATATTTCCCGAATGAAAAAAAAAAAACTGAAACACCAGACACCAATAATTTTTTTTAAGGATTTAAATTTTTATTAATTAATTAATTTATTTATTCAATCATTTATTTTGTTCATTATAATTTTAACTATTTTTTATATTTTATTTTGGTTTTGGTTTGTTTTAATAATCGCTTAAAGTTAAGAAAGATCACACACGAGAAAATCAAAATGTGAAATATTTACCACTTTAAGAGGAAATATTCTCATTTTTTTTGTAGTTGTTATTGTTGTATTTGATTTTCTTGTGTAGCAAACTATAACTAATTTTTGGTTTCAGCTGTTTGCTTTTGCTAACGTCGCGATGACGAAAAGCAAAAGCGAGAAGGAAAAAATAATAGTATGTATGTATGTATGTAAATATGAATGAGTTTACAATTTATGCATGTATGTATGTAAGTGAAGTTAATTTATATTTATAAATTTAACAATACGTTACATTACATTACTACGACTTTACATACACACACATGAAAAAGTCAGCGATTGGCACCATAAAATACCACAAAACTTGACTGTCTATACGGCACGGCCCATTATTGTTAATTTGTTTAATAAATAATTCATTTATTTATTTAATTTTTCTTTTTGCAAAGAATGCAGATTTAAATGTTTTTTCTCGTTTTTGTTTTTTGTTTTTGCTTCTCTAAATATGAAAATCGCTACAATAATACAATACGGTTTGGTGGATTTACATACGGTTGGTTAAATTTTTGTTGTTATTTTCTATGTGTGTCCATGTGTGTGTGTTTGTCTTATTAAAAGTATGTTTTTGTTTAAGTTTTTTGTTTTAAATTTGTGTGTGTTTCTTTTTTATTATTAATATATGTTTGTTTGGTTTTTCAAAATATACATACATATATAACTTAAAGCAGGGGCTTAAAAAATGTTTTAAAAAAAGAAATCTTAACACATTAGAATCCAAACAAAACTTTCTGGATATAAATTGTTTTAAGTTTTACAAATTTCGTTTCAATTCAATTTTTTTTTTACATTAAAGCTTTTTTTTATTTAACAATTTTCACATTTATTTTCGTTTCTTCATGAGTTTTTGTTTTTGTTTTCTAATTGTGCAAAATCTGAGTTGCTACTGAATTTTGTTATATCATTAATTTCTCTTGTGTACTTCTTTTTTGTTGTTGGTTTATTTGCTGGGGGGGGGGGGGGGGCACTTAAATTCTATTTATCCTTCGATGAAATTGGGCCTTTTTACTGTAAAGAAATTTTTGTTTATTTAGTATATTTAAACGCAATCAAAAAAAAATGGTTAAAAAAACTTAAAAAAAATATATATTTTTGAAAAATAATAAAAATTACGGAACTGATATTTTTTAAATAATTTTTTTTACTGAGTACAAATCAGTTCGGCCCGCTTTTTTGTGTTCGAAAAGAGGATTTTTTATTGAAAAATGTTAATAATAAATCAATCAAAGTATTGTCTCTTGTAGCTTTCGAATACCATCTCTAAAAAATGCTTTTCCTCGATCCAATCATTGCGCCATTCTACGATTTCTTCAAAAAGGCCCGAGCCGGCGTACCCTCCAAATCGTTTTGTACCCGTTCAAAAGGGCAGCAAGTTCTGTAGAAGACGACGGTTGGGAGTATAAAATCTCCGATTTCAGTGGTTAAAGTTAGTTTTTGACCATTGAAACAACGTGGGGCCGAGCGTTATCAAGTTGAGAAATCACGTTATCATGCTTTACAGTTGTTGTTGTTTTTTTTTTTGGTAGCGGTTAGCCCCAGGCTAAAACAGTCTAAGTCATCAAGGTCATCTAATGGGAGGTCCAAGAAACGAGCCGTTACCATGGGTTCGGACCAGATTAAAAAAGGAATTAGATGAGTTGCTTTTAGGGTGTATGCAAATACACGGTTAGTGTCCTACGTGGACTCATTTGCAATGAGCGGGATATACTTTAGGTATGTCGAAGTCAAAACTGGATAAGTGCGAGTTCAAACTATTACAATATCTAGATCAGAACTCTGGAGGCAGCTCGAGCTCTTCATCTACAATTCGCGAACATCTTTATTACAAGAGAGTTCAGGAAGGTGTTGACAGACTTTCGGTGAATTGCGTTTAATGTTTATCGGTACGTCGATCTGTCCGGTGCATGTTGTAGGTGGTGCTGTGCAGGTGCAGGTCAAGTACTCCCTTTCTGATGTGCGACTCTCACGACAGCCGGCTCTACGCACTGGCGTCGATCCGTATTTGTTCGGCGTCCGTCAGCAGATAACATGATTTTCGGCCCTTTTCATACGCAATACAGATCTCTAAGTTGCATTTGTTGCATTCGAAAAGCATTTCGCTTGGTCTTAGCGGCTCATAGGACATCCATGCAACCATCTGGTACCACCAAATACAAAGCATGGCCTTTGAACCGTGTATATTTTTGTTTGGCGTCAATGTAGACGATGATGGAACTGGTTTAACAGGCTTGGCACAGTAAACCTTCCTCTTCGGGGTTATCGTAATTCATCCACTATTCATCTCCAGTCACGATGCGATGGATAAATCCATTAATTTTATGTCTTTTAAGAAGTAAATTCGTGATGAAAAGTCATCGTTCGACATCCAATTTGCTTACTCACGTGAACCAGTGAAGTCGCCGATTCTTCAACTTCAAATCTTTTGGGCTGGTCATTATGCTCTTTGTTTTCGATGCTTTCGAAATCTCCACCTTTGAAGTGCCGAAACCACTCTCTGCATGACTTAGCGTTCAGCGCAGATTCACTGTAAACTTCCACAAGCAATCGATGGTCTTCAGCTGCACTTTTCTTTGAATCATAATAGAAAGTCAAAACTTCCCACAAATGCTGTTTAATTGGCACCAAACCGGACACATTCGAAGAGAGAAGAGACAGCTCGAGCTTTTCGTCTTTCGGAAAAAACGGAAAGAGACGCTGATGCCTCAAAATAAAATAGGTAGTAGCTTCCAAGATCGGGCCCAACTTGCAGGTGGAGACATCTTTTGAGAACGGACCGAATCAATTTGTACCCCTTTACATATGTATATATTAATGTGCATAAAAACTTACTTTTTAAACGCAACTTCAGCCGTTGAGGTTTTTGTTTTTGTTCTACTTTTCAACTACTATATATATTTGTATGTAAGACGACAGACAGACAGCTCCTCCATTTGAATTCTTCTTACGCTTCTGCTTTATTTATTTATCTATGTTTGTAGGTATGTGCGTTTGAGTTTGTATATATTATGTATGTATGTATATTAATTTAAAATTAAAATAAAATAGTTGCTTAAAAGGACGAAACAATATTTGTATGTATGTATGTATTTAAAATTAAACATTTTGCTTCTAATGAGGAATTATGCAGCGCACGCATTTCAAAAATATTCGCAAATATTTGAAATAAAATATACAACAACAAACAACAATACAGCACGCTTTTTACTTAAATCACAAAAAAAAGATGTGTAAAAAGAATAAACTTAAATGAAAACGTATAACAAGCCAAACTATTTAATTAGTTTTTTTTTAGGTTATGAAGTTTTTCAAAAATTTTTTTTTTCGCTCAGAAAAAAAAATTTGGTTTTCTTTTTCTATTGTTGTGCCTGGCAATTAAACCAATGAGCTCTTCAGTAATGAGAGTACAGCCCAACCGCTGGCAGCAGCAGCAGCGAGAAACATCACCACAGCGGATGGGTTGAGCGCGCCGGCGCCATTGCAGTTGTCCATGTCACAGGAGCATACTATTTGGCGGCCACCGAAACCGGCGCGTTGATAACAGTAATTGGTGCGTGTTTGATTGAGGAAACCGCATGAGCGTATGACACGGCTATCTGGTGGTACTGCAAGGCGAAGAGAAGATGGCAAGTGTAAGATGCATTTAGAGATAGATATGTATGTATGTACATATATTTAAATTAATATGTGCTGAGCACCTAAAAATATGCACAAAATTTAATTATGTATGTTTTTATTCTTTATATGAACGAAATGAAAATTTCGTTGCATAGCTTTAGGCGCTTTAGTGCTCACTATTGCGCTGGTATGCATTATGTGAGCGTTCACAGAAGAGATTGAGAAAAACATGGTTTCAACTTACAATTATTCACCGAAAATTCAATGATTTGCGAAATCTTGCGGCAATAGGTCGGTATGCCCTTGCCGCGTGTCGAATAATCTTCCTGGCAGTCCTTGAGCAAGTGTTCTGGTGGTATATCCAATGCACAATTGGCATCTTTGTGACTATTGCAGACGTAGCATTTGATGGCGGCACCTGTAGAGATATAGAAAAAAGTTGTAATTTTTAGTCTTTTCTAAAATGTAAATGCGTATGTGCGTATGTATTAAATATTCAATTCAGGAACGATGGCAGTTTATGGCAGTAGGTCAGGGAGCGCCAAGTTCTTCGGGAGTTTTTTTGATATGAAATAAAAGTCCTTGACAAAACTTCATCAGCCATTCGCAGGCGGCTTAGTGTGAACGTTAGAAAAACATCAATACGCAAAATCAAAGCTTGGAGAAGGAGCTCGGACGAATATCGCTTAAATAAGCGTAAAGGAGGAGTACGGCATAGTATTTGGTTGGTCTTTAATGACAGCCGTACCAGGGGTAATCTTGAGTATAACATTCCAATTACAGACAATGTCAAATACAAGTTATAACCTTCAAACATCTTTCTCGCTTGTCGTGTGGGATAGATGGGTTTACAATGGGTCTTTGTGTTAAGGTTGAAAGGGCTGGGAAACCAAAACGTCTTTCACGGGAAGGGAGTGAATGAAGCTGTAAATAATTCACACTTATTATGAGCTGCATTGAGCTAGAATCCTCTGGGGACCTTTTTGTTGGGCATCGAATTTTCAGTTAAAGGGTTACATACGGGTATAGTTAGAATTTTCAAAAAATCTATTTTTTTTAAATTCATTTTCGAAATGTTCATGTATTCGAGTAAAAACATTCAAAATTTAAAGTCGATCCGGCTGTTATTTATGGGAAGTTACAGGCATATCTGTAACGACGCGTCAGAGGATTTGAAAGCGTTAAGCCGATGTGGCGTCTCGCTTTTCTCAAATATATGTTTTTCAAGTCGGTGACGAAGATTCGTCGGGAAGGGCTGAACCCTTTAGTCTCAAATTTGTACACGGGCTTCTGAACAATATTTTCTAGTACTCAACCGAGCTTTTCCATTACCGATGAAAAGTTTTTTTTTAATGCGCAATTCATGACCAAAAATGTGCAGAAAAATTGAAAATTTTTTTGAGTAGCCCACGTTTTGTCAAATTTTTTTTTTTACTTATTCCTTCGATTAGTCACAAGATTATACATTACTTTAAAGAAATCCGTTTGATTTTTTTATTTCAGATGATTCACTTCAGAAATACAATGGTCACCGCAAAACATCTTTTTGGGAGGGGTCCTTGGCGATCTGCTGTAGCAGCTTCAAAAACTTTTTTTTTTGTAAATAAAAAATTCCCAACTACTCTTTAAAGGTGCTTTAATATGTGTAAAAATGTTCAAAATAATAAAACCAAAAGTTTCCTGGTGAAAAATGTTTGAAAAACCTCATTTTTTAGGGCTCCTATCTGTCTAGTTTAAGCCCTTAAATAGAAATTTGTGCTCGATGGTGTAGCGAAGTGTGAGAAAGCGGCTGAAAGTTTAATATACGTAATTCTAAAAGCTTCATTAAAAAAGTTTCATTAACTAAAAAATTGCACTATCCAAATCAGGCGCAATTGCAGGGGTATTTACTCCGGCTTTGTTAATTTGTTGATCGTTGATCGGCGGTGTTGTGGGTTAATTTTGTTTTTATGAAACTAACGGGTTATTGTTTTCCCGAGTAACAAAGTACCAGCTTGGCGTGCTAGACAGCTTTTTCATTAATTGGTAACTAGTGTTCTCATTTTGACTTTTTTTAAACTAGATCTAGTTAAATACATTTTTTGGCTGTTTTGGTTGAAAATTTGATTTTTACCTTCTTTGAAAAATCTTCAGCTGTTTTTAGCTTGGTATAGGAAAAATCATAATTTTTTTTGTAACTTATCCTCCCATGGTTAAATGCAGAGAAAGAAGTGCCACTGGTAGGTTTTGTGTACCTAATACCTTAACAGGATTGACATCGAAAAAACGTTTTTGGCAGCAACAAGTGATTTTCGCGCTTAAAATGTTGAAAACTCACGCCCCACTCAATCCAATCCACACTAAATTCTTCAATACTTTAGTCGCAGGGGAAGGCATATTTTGTTATTTCAAGGCTTTCAAAAATGTCAGCGAATTATTGTACTTTAAGAGGTCTTAACCATACATATTATGAAGGTCGGTAGCTAGAAAAAGATGACCGTGATATTCAATAGACCTGTGACGAACCTTATGAGCATTCTCATTTAATATTTAATTTTACTATATTCTTCTCATGATGAACGATTTCTGCATAGGATTCTGGTTTGATTGTTTTTCCTACTTTCAATACTTCAATGATCGCCTAAATATTTTAAATTCAATTCATATTTATTAAGTCAAAGATTTACCAAATCTTACAGACAAGATGTACAAATTATCAAAATCATATTAGCTCTTATTATTATTATTTTTTTTTCAATATCAATCACCATTTTTACCTATACTTACGTAAACACCGCCTACGCGATTATAGCCGATTTACAACAATGCGCCATTCGTTTCTTATTTTTGCTGTGTAGCCTCAGTTGGGAATACCAAGTACAGCCAGGTCCTTCTCTACCTAGTGTTTCTAACAGAGTGATGGTCTTCCTCTTCCTTTGCTTCCACCGGCGGGTAAAAACTTTCAATTCTGGAGTATTCGCATCCATGCGGATCACATGGCCTAGCCAGCGTAGCCGCTGCTTCTAGATTCGCTGAACTATGTCAATGTTGCCGTATAACTCGTACAGCTCATCGCTTCATAAATCTTACGCAAAACCTTTATCTCGAAAGCTCCTAACGCCGTCTCATTGTTTATCGTCCATGCTTCAGCAACATATAGCAGGACGGGAACGATGTGTGACTTGTGGAGTTTGGTTTAATGCTAGTTCCTAGATAGACGAAATCATCTACGACTTCAAAGTTATGACTGTCAACAGCGACGTGGGAGCCAAGTCGCGAATGCGATGACTGTTTGTTTGATGAGAGGAGATATTTCGTCTTGTAATCGTTTACCTATGCTTTCTTATAAATATGAATGTCACATATGTCAACCCAAAGCACTAGAAGCCGATGCAAATGTTATTGAGCCCACAATCCGCAAAACTCGGTCTCAAGGTGTTTTCGATGAAGCTAAGATAAGAACTTGTGAGTTAACTCACATTTTTTTAGTCAAAAGAAATTTCAACTTTGCTGTTTGACACATGAATTGTTTGTTTTTTAATTTTAACGTCTTTTTTCAGAAAACTGTTTGGCTATTCCTAACTTTTTAGGTCCATTAGGATCTTTGCAAAAAGGTCTTCAACACCTGTTCTTTTGCTTCATTGCCCAAAAGGTTTATTTACTCTATTGCGAAATTCAATTAAATAAATATTTGACAATTTAAGATGTTGCTTTTACTGTGGGTTTCTTTTTAAATAAAATACAAACAAATGTTTTTGAAAAAAAGCGTAACTCGCTACTGGAATGGAGCACAAAGAAAAGACAATACCCCTCCCCTCTCCCCCGATCCGAAAATAGAAGCAAAACAAAACGAAAACTTAGTGGAAGATTATTAATACGTAACAGCGGAAGCACAGGAAGAGGCAGTACCCTCGATGCAGAACACTTAGAATGACCATTGGTGTACTTATATGTACACGTATACCTACAAAAGTCATAACTCCGATTTGTATAACAGAAATGTTAAAGAGGTACTGTTAAGTAGATTAAGAAACATAGCCGAATGCTTTGATGCTCTCAATGGATTTCGTAAATAGAAACGTCTCATTAAAGCGTTTATGACGTCATTTAGAACTGTACAGCAAAGCAAAATCATCATAGAGGATTAAAATTCTTTCACGTAGCCCTCCTTAACGGGTGAAAAAGACCATCCCTTAGAGTAATCCCTGTTCGTCTGCTCTCCTTGCACTGACGTCATAATTATGTTACAACACATAAAATATTTAAATAGAATTGCAACCACTTAACGTCACTAAACCTGAGAGGATGACAGAATTTATAAATTTGTAAACATGCTAGTGCGAGTAGGAAAATCAGGCGAGAAGAATATAAGTATATCCCTCTCTTCACCAGATGCAACGTTTTGTAGCTAATATAAATAAATAAATAGTATTTATGTTACATACAAATAATAACAGGTTTACAAGAGGCAAACAGTTGGACGAGAATTTTCGCAAATTGCCATCGTATCGCTTGTGTAACACTAACAACATGAACAAGGATTGTGCAATATGTGCAAACTACAATTTTCAAAAATTGTAACATAAAATTGCATAGTGTGTGCCTAGCCTAAGTAATGCAGCTACTAACGAGCGACGACTAACCAGACTCGTCGGCGCATCCTAGCTTGCAATTAAACTTTTTGTCGGCAGATGCACCCACCATACAGCAAGAAAGTGGGAGGCAAGGCAGATACAGTCAGTTGCGGTTGTGGCCGAAGCGTATTTGCAAACTTATTGTTGTACGTGTCTGCATGCGGAAAATTCCTAAAGGCTACTCTGCTTATGATGTTGTGTATTATTTACGGTTGTTGTTGTCTACTGCGCATATTTGCAGCAATATAGATTATTTAATTTTAACTTTGTACACAAATGCACTGAAGTGTACACACAATCAGAAGAGGAATACAAAAAAAAAGAAACAAAAAAATATGAGAAAAAACATAAAAGCGAAAGAAAAACACAAAAATGTAAGAAGAGATTTTCTCCACTGAGGTTTAAAAATAGCGGAACTAACTTAATGAGCTTGTGTAAAGTGCAGAGTGTGTACGAGCATGTGTTTGTGTGGATGATATGAAACGGAAGTGAGGTTATGTAATAGTTTTGCACCGGCAAAAGCTGGAAAATACTTACGTATGTACGAGTATATATGTATATCTATTTAAGTATGTGTATAATATGTTAGTTAACTGCATGAGCACCCGGCAGCCGGTGCATACTCATGCCTGGCTAAGTATGTGCATATGTGCATAGAGGAAAGGGAAATAGTGACACAACACTAGTAGTGATGATGCTAGTGTGAGACCCTAGCATTTGTGTGACTTGATTATAAGCCTATAAGTGAACTCAATATGCATTTAAGTGTTTGTTTGAATGTTTGTTTATGCTTCAGATTCTGGTT